TTTTTTTTTTTTTTTTTTTTTTTTTTTTTTTTTTTTTTTTTTTTTTTTTTTTTTTTACCGGGGATCGAATTCAGGCCCTTGTGCTTGTGAGCAGGCAAAGGAACCACTGAGCTAAATCCCCGGCCCAGTTTAATGTGTTTTAATAGCAAATTTAAAGGAACAGCACAGGAGATAAATAGTAAAAACATGTATAACTACTCAAATAGAAAAGCACAATGAGTGGATACAGATACTTTAGTTGCTGTCAGTAAGAAATGTACTTGTTTTATGCTTGATACAGCAGCACATATACAAAATTGGAATGATACAGAAACTAGCATAGCCTCTGAACAAGGATGACACCAAAATCCCTGTTCATTTTTTAAAGAAAATCATCAGGCCTTTCTCTGTGTGTGTGTGTATTGGTGTTACTGGGGATTGAACCTAGAACCTTCACATTGAGCTGCATTCCTAACTTTTATTTTTTTTGGTAAGTAGCTTCTTTTTCTTTCTCTCTCTTTAAAAAAATTGGTTGATTAATAGGTTTCATTTTGGCAGATTTGTACATGCATAAAATGTGTTTTGATCATTTTTACCCCAATCCCTATCACTCCCTTTGCCCTGCCCTCCCCTTAGTTTAACATTTTTTTTTGGGTTTCAGTGTATATAATACATTTTGCTCATATTCATTCCTCCTACTACCTGCCCTTATGTCCCTCCCCTTATTTTTATTTTAAAGCTAAAGAAATTACAGCACAGATAGGTTAAGTAACTTATCTGAGGACACACAGAGACAGAATTGAAACCTAAGCAACCTGGCTTCAGATTCTTGCCTTTAATTTTTATGTTGTGCTACCCTTTTATCTGGCATGCGAGACCCTGGTGACCCAGTTGAAAGCCTGGTAGTGGGATGGCAATGGGCTGCTTCTAGGGAGCTGCCCAAGTCTCTAGCCTCCTCTTTTCTCCTTTGTCTCCAATACTTTTTCTACTTTGTCTCCTGCACCTCTTGTCTTTGGTGCGGATGACAGACTGGTTCCTTTGCAGGGCTGACACTTCTGCATCTTGTCTGTCCTCATGGATACCTGGCTTCAGACAACCCTCAGGGAACTAAAGGAGGGTGGAGGTGGTGGGGGCAGTGTTTGCTGAGGATTGATAGAATCGATACCTCTGTGTTCTTTGTCACTGAAGGCAGCAGCAAGCAGAGTGTGTGTGTGTGTGTGTGTGTGTGTGTGTGTGTGTGTGTGTGTGTACGCTTTTGAACATAAGTGGGTGTTGGGGGGTGGGGTGTTTTGCCTCAGGAGTGTTATTTCCTACCGAATCAGGCATTATCTTCTCACCAAAGTCCTTTTTATGCCTTTTGGACACTGAGGTGAAGCATGTTGTTGGACCCTGACTTTGTGGGGGAGTTGGAAGGAAGAACGAGCCCCAGAACACAGAAGCACACATGCACCTCATCTGCTGTGCCCTTTGTTATGGACACTAACACACCCCCTCTAGGTTTGCTCTGGAGGGCCTCTGTCCTCCTGATGACACATAGGCTGGTACTGGAAACAAGTATGAGTTGGGGAGTCCATGGCAAAAGTGAGGAGGAGAAGGCTGTTGTTCTTGAAGGTGTCCTGGGTAGCTTTGTGTCTTTGGAGCAGGGAGAGGTCTTATGTGAGGCTTTGCAGTCCTGGGGGAGCTGCTTAGGATGGGGCAGGATTAATTCTGACACCCAGAATTCTGAGGCTTTCAGGGCCCAGGCAGAAGGTGCTTTGGCAGAGATCTGGCTCTTCTAGGTAGCCTCACTCAAACTCCCTTTTTCCCCCATTATTCTGCCTTTGGCGTGTCTATCTTCTAGGTGCCCACATCTCAGAGTCTTGTGCTGTAACTGTGAATGACACACACATATATGTATATATGAAAACTTCCCTGTTTGTGGGGCTGGAGACCATTTGGCTGGGCCTCCTGAGCATGGAGTTGAGCTGCCCATGAGATGGGGAGGTGGTTTCAGAGGGCATTGTCCATCTTTGGGCTGTGCCTGCTCTGGTTTAAAGGACTAGTCCAGCCCGTGGACCCTGCACTGGGCCCATGACAGATGCTGGTGACTTGAGGCACTGTTCTGCATCTCTGAAAAATGATGTAGTTGAGATGATGGGCTGCATTGTAGAATCCAAGTATATATGAAATGAAATGAAGTCATAATGAACACAAAGCTTACATCATTTGTTGCTTCTAATCACTGGTTTTAGTAGGGGCTGTGTCTCAATTTTATAGATGAAACAAACAAAACAAAATGAAAGCGCCCTCAGGCTCAGAAAGGTAAGGACTCATAGCTAAATAGAATTGAATTCTAAGACCACATAGTTTCCAAAAAGGGATGGTTATGGCAGGTTTTCGTGGCTGGCTGTTTTGGATGAGGAAGGCCAGGGAGGTTCTGGAGAGTGGCCTGTAGGAGAAAGCAGCTGTCAGGTGATAGGATGGGGGAGGAGGGCTCTGTGACTGCCTTTCAGAAGCAGGACTCCACATAACTGCTGGGAAGGCTCTTAATTAAATGTGTAACAAAATAAAAACAGCCAGAGAGGAAACCTAAGTAGTGTAGCGTGACAGCGCACAGCTTATCGGTGTTCCTGGAACCTCTCGTCAGGGGCTCATCAGTGACTCTCGGCAGAGCCATCACCTTTTTGTGCGCCTGGTAAAGGCTGCTGATGAGTCTGACAAGGGCGGTGTTAAATTGGTACTCACAAGTTGTTAGTCTGTGGCTTACTTCTTATTTTGACATCCTTTTCCAGGTTTTACTAAGTGAAGCATTCAGCAAATATTTTCATTTCACACTGTAGTTTCTAGAAGCCATGGCTCCTTCTCCTCGCTATTCTTACTCCCCTCCCCTCCCCCACTCTACCAGCAGGTTCACATCACTTTTGTTGAAAAGGCTTGATTAATGTAGCCCCGAGAAATGGGAACTGAAGTGGCAGCAGAAATACCACCAGAAAAAAGAAATCTGCTCCCATCCTGACAATATCATTTTGTGTCCATCTTTTGTCAGATCCTGATGAGTTGATACTGTGTGATTATAGGGCTTTGATGCTATAGCTACAGATCCTGCTAAGGTGGGTTTTAATTTAGTGAGTTCAGATTTAATTTTTCACTTTAAACATTTTAAAGAAACAATGCTTGATTTGGGCTTGACCTTTGCTCAGTTTACCTGTCTTTCCTACCTGGCCTGCCTCTCCTTCACCTTACCTGGTATTTCCTGAAGCTCCTTTTGGGGTTTAGTGTTGTTTCTCTGCTTACTCATCTTGGCATGGTAGGACAGTGGAGCTAGTGGAGAGTGACAAAAGCCCAACTTAGGTGCTCTTCCCACTTGAAGAATTTTGGTTTTAGTCAGTAGCTTAAAGATCCCCCGCTGAATAGCACAGCTTGGCTGAAAAGTTAGGGTAGAAGCTTTGTGGGTAGACTGTGGGTCTAAGAGGAGGGGAAATCAGTGAGAGGGTAAGACTGGATGGAAAGAGAGAGTTGGGATAGTCAGATACCTTAGTTACTCTGGTGAAGGATGCTGTACTCTAGGCCAGGGCCTGGTCAGAGTTGGTTCAGAGATTCTCATCTTGGACCCACTTTAGCCTTATTTTGGAACAGGATATTTCCTTCCCATGTGTAAGTGCTGGCCTGGCATTGGGCTTTAGTTCCTTCCTTGCCTTTCTGATGGGGTGAGCCCATAACACCCCTCCACTTATGCTGTGTGACCTTTAGATTTTAGAAGGTCTAGAAGCTGGGTGTGGTGGCACATGCCTGCAATCCCAGCACTCAGGAGGCTGAGGCAGAAGTATTGCTGTGAGTTTGAGGCCAGCCTGGGCTAGCTACATAGTGAGTTTAAGGCCAGCCTGAACCACACCGTGAGACCCTGTCTTAAGAAAAAAACAAAACCACCAGAAGGTCTGGTAATAGAATTGAACTTGCCCAGAGTACACTACTTGCTGCTGGCATGAGGGGTGGGGGTGGGGGTGCCCGTAGTTAAGTGGCCTAGACCGTCGAAGAGCAGGACTTCTGGTAATCTAGAATGAAGAGGTGCAGTGATAAAACCACATGCCTGGAGAGCACTGTGGGATGGGGCAGTCCTGGGGGTGGTGGGAGACGGCTGAAAGGATGGACTAATGAAATGCTGGCTGAAGGTTAGGCTGGGTCCTTTTGTCATCGTTCAACAGAGTTGACCACTTCATCTTGAAATATTCCCTATCTTTGTGTTTTCTGGTTATCTGGCTTCTCCTTTTTAGTCACATTTGCAGCTACCTTATCTCTTACTTTTAAGTGTTAGTGTTTCTAAAATATTGTTGTTGCTTTCATCTCTGTCCTAGCTCTCTTTTTCCCTTTATTCAACACACTTGTGGTTCCAGAGTAGTCTCATCTTTTTCTATAGCTTTAGCTGTCCTCTGTCTGCTCAGGTCTTCTAATCTTTTTCTCCAAGTGAGAAATGAGAACTGACAAGGCAGCAGAGATCCTATTGGAGAGATCGG